GAAGTCCCATACAAAGTTTTCCTTGGAAGCTTGTCACTAATAAACAATTGCCTTGATTCCTTCAGATTGAGCTATGTTCAGTGTCACCTTTACATAGCTCTTGTACCATACTGTACAGTTCACCGTAATACAGAAAGTTATCATTGGTAGATCGCAGATAAACACGTACATCATGAAACAGTTTGCTACAGACCAGATTCTTCTCAGGTAACTAACTGCACTTAGATATCCTACCACTTTTTAATCTGCTTTATTCCAGAAAGGCTCCTTTTGCAGACTAATTGATAGAAGAGGCCTTGGGACTGACAGCTCCAGAATTCACTATGAAATATGTGGAATTTCCTGTATTTTATGGTTTCTGATTTCATATTGGTTTGTCATTTATAGAACGCTTGCACAATATATGCTGATGAGTTATCAACTCATTTAATAATGAAAATCAAGAAATAAATCTAATGTTAAATGAGTTTCCATTTTAGCTGTGCATTTTACTTTGAAGTTGAGGACCTGTGTTCATGTGTTCAGGAAACATGGCACATTTCAACATTCCAATTGTCTACTTCAGCTCTGGATCAAAAGGGCACCTGCTTTTTCAGACACTACGCTCATAAACGAACATCTATTAAAGGGTGTGTGTGTGGTGTGTGTGCTAGCAGACTGGCCTTATGGATTTCATACTTCATAATGTAACTCAGACTTTTATAACAAAATTAAAAGTTTGTAAGGTAAAAGTGTATAATAACGAAAAACAGATTGTTGAATAAAGGTATGAGTATGAGCTCTACCTCTAGTCAAAAATTTTCTCTTGTGTAGAAGAACAGCATTGAAAAGTGAAGAAAAATTGACAGAAAACATTTAGAAACAAAAGGTGGGTTTCCCTATTTCCTTATTAACCTAAGGGAATAATAATAAAAATAATAATCTGTTAATACCCAGGAAAGCATTGCTAGAAAAGACAATGATCTGTCCCAAATCATTCTTGCCATAAAGGCACTGAAACTGAGCGTGTCTTTTATCATCCATCCATACAAACCATACATGGAACTGCCACCAAACTGAATCCTCATTTGGATTCTAGACATTTACAAACATTTTATTAACTTGCCTCTTTCCACCCTCTGGGGAAACTTTTCTGCCAGAGAAAAATCTGGAGACAGGAGAGGATGGCTAAATCAGACCCACTAGACAAAACACATCTTGCAGTGACTGAGAGATAGGAACAATTGTTACTTGTGTCCACAAAATGAAAGACCCTATCTCATTTTTGCTTGAGACTGCTAATTTTCTGCTCCTTTCCAGAGTCCATACAGGTAAAGACCCTACGTTTGTTTAAACCCGCTCATTTACAGAATTCCTCAGAACATTTACTAGCTTTATACTGCTAACTCAAGGGGACTGTTTTAGTTGAAACATTGGAAAAACCCCAAACCCATGAGCATAATTCTGAGAAAGGAGATTCTTCTTTTACGAAGAAAACTGCTGTTTCGTTGGTGCAAATGACTATAAAAGGGTCAACAGATAAGAGTCTACTGAAAAAAGCATAGAGAACATTTAAATCAACAGGTAAAGAGGTAGCCATGTATCATTTATTTATTTTCATTAGCTGATGCCACACGCAGCATAAGAGAACATGTATGATCTGTATGTGGAAAACACATGAATGATAATATCTGTAAACTAAACACAGCTATAATATTACTTGTTCCTAAATGATGTTGTAACAAGTGAAAATATAGGGCACAATGGCATTTTTTTTAAAACTAAGTAACCCTTAAAACCATAACTGAGAAAATCCAGACTCCAGGAATTTTCTGATGCAGTATGGAAAGCAGTTCTGTATTTAGGACAGGGATTTCTCCATAAAGAGATCACCTATGAAAATAATTTTTGTTGCTGGAGTAGGGGCAGAGTCATTAGTATTTCAGCCTCAGTCCTGTTAGGCAGAAGAGCAGTCCCCACTGAAGTAAGCTTCTAAACAATTATGCTTTTGACCTTACATCTAGCGAAAGATCTTTTTTTTCCATTTGCAGTTGTCCATATCACTGAATCAAGAACAAAGCAAAAGAATAAAGTTAAAGTTCATCTATTATAGATCTCAGTTTCTAGTGATGTGATGAAATAGCTATGCCACCTGTCAAAAACATAAGCAAACTGTGACAAGTTATGAAACAGAAGATGCTGTCGGGTCCAGCTTCTGGCACCTGCACCTGTAGCAATTCCCTACAAGGGACTGCTTCCCAGTGATCCCCCCGTATCTCCTCTCCGCTTCTTAAACAAATAGAGCTTGGCATCCACGAGCCTTCCCTCCTGTACCCTGTGACTAGCAGATTAGCTACTCAAAACACAGCTTTATTTATTCACTCTCCCAAGACACAGTGCCGACAAGACAAAGCATAAACAACAATAACACCCACCCTGCATACACACATTTTGCCTCATTGACTGTTAATCTTCATTGGCCACATTTTCTACATTTCTTTTGGCCCAAATAAAACCCTACCTCTCAGGGGCGGGGATAGGGGGAACAAACAGAAAAAACCCAAACCACAACAAAAAAACATCCAGATTTTCCTAAGTGTGACTTGCTCCGTCTGTTCAATGGATGCCACATTTTCAAGACAAACCTCTTATTTTTAAAACAAACAAAAAATTAAAATTTAAATACTTGTGGATTCAGATTTGTTGATTTGGATAATATACATCACAGCAAAATAGCTGGAATATGGTAAAGAGAAGTTTCTCCTTGCTTCTCACAAAAGTTTTATCAGACTGTCTTTATCATATAAACATATTTCCAAAGCGTTTACATTACTGAAAATCTATCTTGAATTAAATTTCTACTTCAGACCTCCTTTCATTTACTTTGCCTTCAGTCAGAACAACATCACACAGGTAAGTTAAGGCATGAAGGGATATTAAAAAAAGCAAAGAACAAAGTTTCGATGATATTACTCAATGATTCAGTGTCCCAACGAATGACCTTTCATTTGAAGCACACTGGTTCTACCAATTTCAGGCTTCAGAATAGGCTTTAGCTCTTTCTGATGTAAGAGCGTGCTTCCTGAATACTACTAGACATGTGAACATGGAAGACCTGAGCACTAGAAAAGTAGGGTCAGAATCTACAAGATGAGA